AAAACTCCTGCATCACATTGACTCGACTCCTCCATCAAAAACATAATTCAGAGTAAATCCACATGATTAAATTAAACAAACCCAAGTTCCCAAAAGAAAGAAGAAAATTTCGTAGCCAACTTTATTCAAGATTTGAATTAATCATCATCGTAACACATTGCCACTCTTTTTCCTCATTTCTTTTTGTTGTTCAAAAGGGTTTCCCTCCAATTAATTCAAAACACAGAGGGAACTACTTTAATTTGAAAAGAAATTTTGATTTTGGAAGAATGCATTTGGTTGCCCAAGAGGAAGAAGAAGAAAAGAAATCTAATCAATGGCAGTCATCTCATCAACTCACCAATGTGATCTGTTGACATTTGAAGAACAAAAAAAAGCAGATTGTTTCTGTAAAAGAAAGCTTTCTGATCTAACCTCAAAAACTGGTTGCTCATACTTCCCTCTAGCCTGTTCATACTTGAGCGTGTTCCCGGTTCTAAAACACCGAAAACTCTGCGGTTTCGAGTGGATTCGGGTCCGGAAATGGGGGTAGCCTTGGCATACATAATCAGAAGGGTTGAAAATTGGGGTTTCTTTGAGGTTTCTGTGGTGAAACCAAGCTCCTGGTGGTGGGTTGAAGATTGATGAAGAAGAAGAAGTAGTTTCTGTGGTTGCTGATGAATTAGAAGTATTATTATTATTAGCTCTCAAACAATTCTCAATCACACTTGCCTCCTCTTTCAATCTCTCTTTCATAACTTTCAAAGCTCCTAATACATTCAAGGGATTCAACTTTCTAGCAGAGCTCAGATTTCTGTAAGGGATTGTCTTGCAATCTGGGCAGAATTTCTTCTTCCTATCCAAATCAAACGCCCTTCTCTTCACATTGTCACTTAAACACGCATATCCCTACAAATACACAACAATCACTCACTCACTCACAAACTTCTCTGTACTGTATCTACCTCTCAATTTATTTTCATTAAACTGAAATCAGAGCATTCATCAAGATCACGAGTACTATATGATTGAAGAACTTAAATGCACAAGCAGTTGCAGAACAACAGTGATCGGTGAAACGCATAATGAATTTTTGCAGCCATGG